TCTCTTACATATATATATATATACATTATACATTTTATATATATATATATATTATACATTATATATTTATATATAAAGACTAGTATCCTGTTCTTTTTCATCACCTGCTTGCTAAGCTCCCTGATGCTGCTCAAGCAGAGTTTGGGATGACCGATACTTCGCTGTTCGCAGATGCCTTTTCTGGTTCGTAAAGGTTTTTTTGTTGAGGGCCTTTTTCCGTCTGCTAGTGCATTAGGGGTCTAGGGTTTAGACATTTCAAGCTGTATTGTGCCGGATTTATAGGGACTCAGAGTTTGGCCCAGCTGTGGGGGATCAGAGACGCCCAGCCCCGAGAGTTCCCTTCGAAACACCTTACTTCGGAATAAGGCTTTGGGGTATGTAAGAGGGTTTCGGGTTTAGGGTTTAGGGTTTAGGGTTTAGGGTTGAGGGTTTCGGGTTTAGGGTTTAGGGTTTAGGGTTTAGAGGGCTTTAGGGCTTAGAGGACAGAGGGTTTATAGGGCTTAGAGGGTTTAGGGGAGTGTCACTGCACAGGGACTATATGGATATACTGATGTACGAGTGAGTAGTAGTAACGATTCACACACCCGGAGCTTAATCCCCTGAACCGCAACCCCCATGAACTCTGAAACAAAAACCAAATGAAACCCATCCAATACGGCCTGTCCCCAAACCTTCAACCGCAGGCCCTATGCAAACTCAATGAGTCCATGCTCCTCAAACTTGACGGAACCCTCGCAAGTCCCACCACCAAAACGATAAAGCCCTGAACCCACCTAAACCTCGAAACCCGAAACCCCAAAACGCCGAACCCCTGCCCCGAACCTCCACACCCCAAAACCCCAGAAACTTTGAAACCCAAATCCCACCCCCCCCCCTCCCGGAAGAGACGACCTTCGGCCCAAGTACGAGGCCGTCGGAGTGCGCCTTGCCCACCTGCGGGCTCTTTCGACTTAAAGCTTCCTGATCATACGGAGCGGGATTTTGAGGGGGATCTTGAGACGCAGGATTTGGGAGCTGGTGTGCTGGGCGCTCTGCGTTGAAGGTCTCCCTTTGGGGGTTCAGGGACTGGAAGTGCGTTTGAGGTGTTACTGTTGATGGACAAAATCCTGCATGACCCAAATGTAGTATAGTACCATAANNAAATCCCATAGTTTAGGTATATATGGGTAGTTGTCAAAATTAGGGTCCCTTTTGGGGTAACCTGAATAATAGGTGCCGTATTATAATAAGGACCCAAAAAGGGACCATAATTTTGACAACCACCCACATGGTCATGCAGGATTTTGTCCATCAACCGCGGATCCTTGAGGTGTTGGGCTCTTCAGCTCGCAGAGTCCTGAACTCGTAGTGGCCTCGGGGGGGATCTTAGGGATTTTAGGGCTTTAGGGTTTAGGGTTTCGGGTTTAGGGTTTAGGGTTTTTTGGGCTTTAAGGTTTCGGGTTTAGGGTTTAAGGTTTTTAGGGCTTGGGGTCTCCCAAGACTCGAAGATGTAGGATTCCTCAAGCCCGAGCCCCGCCATCATCAGCTCCGCCGTGGGCGTCCGACGGAGAGATCGCTGCGCGTTCACTGGGG